CAATGAACTCTATAGGCAGATTTCGTATGTCTATGTTTTCTGGAAGGCATTCCATGGTGTTTTGTGTTGCTTTTTCTGACTGCTTGAGATCGTAACTTGTGTCGCTGCTAAAATATATGCAGATTTGTTTTAAAATTTTATCAGTGCCAAATAAGCTCTCCTCTGAAGTAGCAAGCAATGATGTTTTTTTACCGTCAACGATCAAATTAAAAAATGTTTCAGCAGTCAGCACCTTTTGTGAAACTCTGAAAAGTGTTACTCTGAAGCCGTTTACGATATTTGTACTTTTTATACCTGTCGAAAAAATAAACAGCAATATATATCAAGTAAGTACTTACAGAACATGTTTAACTAAACTAATATATTGAAGTAAACATACCTTTATTTAATGCTTCTTTTAATACTGGAACAAAGTCGTTTTTTGTGAAGGTTTCCAGTGGATTATCTCTTCTACAGTGAAGGACACTCTCTTTCCAAGCTACCTTTAAAGGTCGGAAAGCAGCAACGTCTGCTGGTTGCAGAAGTCTCGTTGCATTTGGATAAAGTGCAATCAGTATTATGTCGAGGCTTCTGCAAAGTTCACTTATCTCTATGGTCAAGTGAGTCTTGTGTCCATCTACAAATAATATAACAGGAAAATTTCTTTTAGTTTTTTTCAAGTATGGGTGGAAAACGTTTTTTATGTAATCATAAAAAAGCTCTGCTTTCATCCATTCAGTGTCGCTAAGTCCAATTCCCCAGTCCCCTGGAACTTTAGAAGTTAACTCCTTCGGCAGCCTTTTATTTGGAAAGACTACTAAGGGTGGTGTGACATCACCATTTGCCCCGAATGTAAATAAAACCGTTAACGATGATTTTGCAGGCGCATTGTCGACTTCGTAGACGTCTTTGTCACCTTTAATAGCTAAAACTTTTCCACTTTTGGGACACAATTGAAAATTTGACTCATCACCGTTGAATACTCGTGTAGGGTCTTTAAGGATACTAAAATATTGTTTGTATTTCAAGTATTCTTCAATTTTTGTAAACCCACCTTTAATATCTTGTTCAGAAAATGCTGCACTCGCCGCAGTGACGGGTTCAGAAGTACGTTTTGTTAATTGTGGGTGTCTTTTCAAAAAAAGGCTGTACCACTTCTTACCCGGAACCCCATTCTTAAAAGGATTATGTCTTCCAGATTTCTTTACAAAGTTTGCGACACTAAGTTGAAGGTCAATTCTTCTCCTTGGATAGCCTTTTCTACAGCATTCGTTTACCCACTTTACAAGTATATCTTCCTCATCTGAAGTTAAAACAGGACTTGGGCCTGGCAGGTCTTTTAGATCATTTCTCAATCTTGATTGGATTGTCCCTCTCGGAACATTGAAAGTTTTAGATGCAAGTTTTTTTGACATGCCATTTTTTTCAGCTTCTAGGGCTTGTATTAAGTTTTCCTTTCCATATTTTTTTCTTTTTGTAAATTCTTTATTCTTCTCCACTTGCTTCCTTGTTTTCATTTTAATTGTGTACTAAAACAGAAAAATCCAATTAACGGCATAGACAGTCGCCAATTATCAGCACTATGCTGATAATTAGCAATGCTCGTATCAGCACCATGCTAATATTTGGAAGACGGTTTTTAATAAATAAATAAATGGACGGAAATCAGTTAACAGCAATCATAGAGCATAAAATCAAATAAAAATATATTATTTATTTCCTACTTATCAAACCCAATTATCCGCACGGGTGCTGATAATAGGAAAAACCTACAAAATAGGAACCATATGCTAGCACCCGACTTTTTTTGATTAATCGACAACTTAACCTAAAAATATATTTAAATTTATGTAGACAAATCACTCTCGAAATCCTCGAAACCAAAATAACACAAATATAATAAAACCTTTTCATGGTTTAAGAAGATAATAAATCACAAGAACTTAACGTCACCCAATCAAAATGGCCGAATTTTTTTACCTTACACACACAGGTAACTACTTATTTATTGCAATTGTCACGCCATCGTATTTTTTTTAATGTTTCTAGCTTACATAATAATTTGATAAATTTAAATCCGATTTTTTTTCACGTAGCAATTTAAATTCAACGACAAATTTTATAATTCGTATTTTTTTTTGTGCAGTGCTGATAATTGGTGTAGTGCTACGAATTAGATACTTTACCCTACTTCTATATATATGACACCTTGACAGACTATCACAGAGCTCTTTTTATATACTGAAACTGCAGACTATACTTATGACACTTTGATGTAAGTATGGCTTATATTCAAAGATATTATATATAAAAAAGAGGATCCTTTATAATATCATTGCTTATATTTAACTATCGTTTATACAAAACAAAACATGAGGTATGATAGGTATTGCAAGTAAAATTTTGTTAAAGATTAATATAACTAATGATTGATAATGATTGTAATCATAAATAAACATAACTATGTATTATCAAAAGACACTGATCTGGTATTGTTACTGTATAAATTAAAGTTGTCGTAGGTATTTACATTGATCTTTTAACATTCCTCAACTCTGCTAAATAAAAAAACGGGATAGCACGCAAAAAACGTTGCCACCATCAATGTATCAATCCTTGGTAGATTAGTACTTTCTGCATTTACGGATCCGTTTTCCATGACGCTCTTTCAATAAAATATGGAATAAAAGTCAACAATCGTGATGATAACTAGTAAAATTTCGAAATAAGGCCCGCCCCATGCATACGGAATTCTGTTTTGATATTCCGATTCGAAATTCCGAATGCAGCAAGCAAGACCATATAAAATCTATGACCCGTCACACACGTTTTCCGTTCGAAATTTTGCGTGCAAAATTGCATTCTGTATATGTGTGGCCGACCCGTTCGGAATTCCGTATGTGGCTGGCCTACCACACAGTACATTACACTATGGCACATTACTTTCTTACTTTATCAGTGACCTCATGACGGAATCTAATATGGCGGATAGCGCTTTGGAGATTAATGATTGATTAAGATATAATGCTTTTTTATGAATAGCAATCAACATTTCTCGTTTACTTTTTACAAAACCTATCATAAATACAGATTTTTTTTACATGGTGTAAAATACCCTATTGGTCTCTAAAAAGCTTGCCATGCTTTGTAGAGCGGGTCAGTATTTCATGCCGGCACACCGCTTGCGATTTCACAAGGTTCAGCCTCAAATGAAATACTGTTTTCATCACTGGGGCCAGCCACCCTAGTGCCAGTTTTTTCCACTTGATCGCATCCAGCGCAGAGCGCCTTAAATCGTCGACGATCGGGTTCTTTCTGATCGTCTCATTGGCGCTGCAAAGAGATTGCATCCTTTTGTATCCATCGCATCTATCAAGGAGATTTCTCAGAGGAATTTTTCGGATTCATTCCAGTAGTCACTTACCATCGGGTGGGCCGCATGCTCGTTGCCCTCTCGAATGTGAAAAAAAAACAAGTTAAACTTTTGCCTTTTTAAGTTTATGTTCAATTACGTACGTAAGCAATTGCAACCAAATAAGAAAAATATATGGTTGTTTATAGAACTTTAAATTAAACTTTTGTAGGATCTTTTGAAATGAAGTTGGGGTACTAATAGTATTTATTCGCATAGCATAGCTTAAAAAATTGGTTTGTAATAATGCACACATGCTGTATGCTCTTGCATAGCCCCATTCTTACCTTGTCAAGGACTGGAGACAGCACAATGTTTTATGATGATATAACATTGGGATTCGGTAACAGAAATACTTGTATTATCACATAGTGAGTTTTATTATTTGAACAAAATAATCTATATTATAGGTACTTAAAATATTTACATTCACTTAAATTACAACTTAATGTCAACATACCCTGTTCGCTTTTCAACCGTTGTTTTCAACAAAAACATTGCGGTGGCAAGACAAGACCCCTTGTTAATACTTAACAGTAATTGAGTACACTCGATTAAAAGAAATTTTGAGATATATAAATTGCAATGGCAGCGTCTACCCACATGAAATCTTCGTTCACAACATGTTGAAAAGGGAAAAGAGGGCGAGAACGTTCACTAACGTAAAATATCAACTACAAAAATTTATTTTCTAGTAACACAGTCCCGAAAGGTTTCTCTAACATAATTTTGCAGCATAAGCATTTGATACATATTATTACTTCTTCGAAATCTTACATCGAAAGTAAATTCAGGTACATGTTATATAAAACAAACATAAGTAAAAATATTTTTGGATTGAAAAGGTAATAAAAAATTGTTCGATAAGTAAAGATCAAGGTTGTTATAACTGAGATTTAACTAAATGGTAAAGCTATAAGATCTGTTGGCTTCTTAACTGATATGTGCGCAATAAATGACTAATAAAGATTTTATCCCCAGATTGGGTAACCTGAGGTGACGCAACTAGGATAAATAAATGAAAAAAAGATTTTTCGATGAAATTAAGATAATCGAATTGTGCTTTTATAAAGCAGCAAGCAGTTAACATAAACTCTCAGATAAAGGTATATCTGAAGCAATGCTTATAAAAGACGAAGAATAATGAGGTGTTACCACGTTGAAATATTTGCGCTTGCAACACAATAAAAATACTGAAGTTTTCAGTTCAATTATCTTCTACCAGCCTCTTTTAAATTTAGAAAGACTATGTACTAATTATTATAACAACAATGCGTTCTCAACAATCATTGGGTGTATTGCGAATCCTTAATATATAGGGATGTCCTTAATGAAATTGTTGCTTGCAATATTCAAATGGTGACATCTATACACAAAAAGCATGTAATAATACCACCTACTCGTAAATAACTTTTCCGCTATATACAATATACAGTGCTATTCAATGAGTGATTATGCGAATTATATAGATGCCCTTACGTATAAATTGTACATAGTACATTCAGCTCTTTTATATCTTTACCATTGTTAGTTGTGTCAAAACTATCTTGTATGTATTCCAATAGCAAGGTAAAAATGTTTTATTTACAAATAACATTGATTGTGCTGCTTAGTCAGGCCTATATATTGGTATTTTGGGTATAAATTCTATGAGAAGTACATATTCCATCATGGAGGAAGAGTCACAGTGCTGTTTTGTTAGACGCCAACGTAAACCCAATTTGTTGTAGAGTCGACTGTTCTCCCATTCCAAAAGCTTGTTAAGCGAGTGTTGTGTCTGAAAAGTCATTACAATAACATTTAGAAAAAAATAATAATGTGAAGACAATAATACTAGACAGCCATGTGATTGTAGCATAAGATAATCCACCATTTGGTTTGGTTGGAGTGGTAAGAGGGGGCTTTATGATGTGTCTAGAAAATCTGATGGCTTCAGTCAGATATAGTATATGAAAAAAATATTCAGACAAGAGATGAGATGAGATGCCAATCTGCCTGTCAAACATGGCAATTATTGCAAGTTCTGACTATTTAGAAAGAGGCCCTGAAATGATTTACGAACTGTTGAGAAGGAGGAATACTACTGGACAGAACTTATAATAACTATTTTATATATCTAACTTTATCTAATTAAATATAATTATAATGGTGTACTACATTGCATATAACAATAATACCTAATTCATTTACCAGTTTACAGATAAACCAAGCCCTATGCCAAGTTGCGAGGATTTAAAATAAATGATAACTTTAAAAAGTAAAAAAAATCATTTAATATTTTAAAAAACCCACATCATCATCATCATTACAGCCCTTCACAAGTCCACTGTTGAAAATGTCTCCCCAAAGGAATGCCACACGTCGTCACTTCATGTAGTGGGGGGTCGCCCTACACTTCGCCTACCGGCACAAGGCTGCCACTTGAGAACCTTTTTTCCCCATCGGTTGTCGGTTCTTCAAGCTATTGACCGGCCCATTAGCTACTTCAGCTTACTAATCCGTAGGTCTATGTCGGTCACTCTGGTTCTACTGCGAATATCCTCATTTCTAGATTTATCACGCAGAGAAACCCCGAGCATAGCCCTCTCCATAGCTTGCTGAGCGACCTTGAGCTTCCTCATACGACCAGCAGTGAAGTACCACGTCTCAGATCCATAGGGCATCACTGGCAACACGCACTGGTTGTACAGTCTCGTTTTCAAGTTTTGAGGTATACCTGACGAGAAGATGTGTCGTAATATCCCGAACGTTGCCCAACCGAGTTGAATCCGTCGATTGACCTCTCGATCGAAGTTGAAATTACCTAGTCGGACTATTTGTCTCAGGTAACCGTACTCGTCAACAACTTCGAGCTTAGTGCTCCCAACAACCACCGGCATAGGTGTGACATGACTTTTGTTTTGACCATGTTCATAGTGCTTAGGTCTTTCAGCAATTCTGCCATAAGGACTATTTCGTCGGCAAATCGAAGGTGAGTGATGTACTCGCCATTGATGTTGATACTGTATCCTTTCCAGTCCAGAAGCTTGAAAAACGTCTTCCAATGCAGCGGTGAAGAGTTTCGGGGATAGAACGTCACCCTATCTTACACCTCTCTACAGTTGGATAGGTTTCGTACTGTCCCTACGCACGCCTACTGTACAAACACTTCAGCACTTCGATATACAGACAGTCAACTTGGCACCGCTGAAGGGACTGCAGCACCGCCGAAATTTAGACGGAATCAATGACTATCTCATAGTCCACCTACGCACGACACAGTAATTGTACTCCTCGGTCTTCTGTACACTTTGCCGAATTTTATGTATGTGGTCTATGGGGCTAAAGCCTTTTCGGAAACCGGCTTGTTCGGGACTGCGTGCGAGACGATTCGTAATGACTCTCGAAAACAGCACGTAGACGCGGATCGGAAGGGAAATCGGTCTGTAGTTCTTCAATAGAGCGTTGTCGCCTTTCTTGGAGAACAAGACCACCGCACTTCTGCTCCACGCCTCTAGTGTAGTGCCACCATGGAGGACGGAATTAAAGAGCTTCTGAAGGACTTCAAGTGCCGGTTTTCCACCCGCTTTCAGATGCTCCGCTGTAATTCCATCCTCGCCTGGGGCCTTGCTGTTTTTAAGGTGCTGGAGAGCCATTCTAATCTCGCTCGCTAATGACGTCCGGGATATCATCGGAATAGTGTCGGATAAGACTTGCTCTTGGATCGTTACTCACACTTGCGTGTGACACCAACCATGATGCGTACAGCTGCCCATAGAACCTCTCAATCTCACTCAAAATCTCAGGTGTCTCGGAACAGATGCTGCCACACTCGGTCTACAGCTTCGACAGTTGGCTCTTTCTGGCAGACAGATCTCTGGCAAATACTTTGGAGCCATGCTTCCGCTCGATCGCTTCTGTTATACCAGCTACATTAAGTTGCGTAAGTCCCGCCGCATGCATTTGGAGATCTGTCTGTTCAGTTGCCTGTATGCTGTCAAATCTGCTGAAGACTGCTGCTTCATTTCCCGTGTAACAGCCATGAGATTAAGAGTGTGAACGGAAACTTTTTGTGTTCTTCGGCGGGTCTTGCAGCACTTAGCTCCGACCGCATGGGTAGTTTTCACGAGCTTGTCATCCATATCGTCCACTGCATTGCAATCTTCTAACCACTGAAAACGGTTTTGTAACTCGAGCTGAAAGGTTTCGGGACTTTGAATCAGAGCACGAGGGGCACGGAGCGTTGACGTCAGTAGACGAGACCTCTCCAATTTAACGTTTATGTTCAGTGTGCCTCTCACCATTCGGTGATCGTTACCAGTTTTCACACTCGCGATCACTGAGACATCACTAGACAGTTGTTGTATCTCATTTTTTGTCGAACCGTCGGGGCTTGACCAGGTCCACTTCCTGTAGGGCCGCTTCTGAAAGAAAGAGTTCATCATAAAGAATCCCTCTTTCTTCATAAAGTCGGTCAACTGCTGGCTCCTTGGGTTCCGTTGCCCTACTCTAAATTTCCCTATCTTCAGCTCACCATTCTCTCTTGTGCCTTGTTTTGCATTGAAGTCTCCCATTACACCGTATAGTGTGTTTTGGAGGAATGTATGATGTATATATGACCTTCAGCGAATACCGTTTGGTGATTCTGAGTATAAGGTATGCAACCCTCATTATAATTTAGATTTAGCTCTGTGCTGTGTAGTGGAGGTGACTATCTATTACCGCATCATCGTCATGGTGTCATAAGAGGTGACACGCTGATACAAGAGATGGCCAGCATTATCTTCCCGATTACAACTTAAAATAATAAAAAAGCTGTGGTAAAAAAAAACCTGCCTGCTAACCATAGTAACTATGTTTCTATGAAACAATTTATGGGGGAGGCCTATGTTCAGCAGTGGACTTTTGATAGGTTGTAAGGAATGAATGAAACCAAAGCTTCAGAATTTATTGCTTACCCTTTTACTTAGACATATGACTGGCCAAAGAGAGCATCCAAGTGTGCAACAACAGCAAACACAGCCACAGAATAACCATTTCACATTCACAGGCAATGTCTTCTTTAACACACTGTTAATTCGAGCTATAGTTGCCTGATATTCCTCAGGAGCTACTCGGGACTGAAGACCTGATGGAAACTCATTGTTGAAGCGATTGCTTAAACCAAAACTGAAAACAGAAATGAATAATTCATTAATAAACTTTCAGGAAAAATTTTAGCTGTGGCTAGTGCAAAATACTATGTTATAGAGCAGTGTTTCCTAACATTTTTAATAAAGGACCCCTTAATAAAAAAAGAAACATGTGTGCAGTTTACACGCGGTAGAAGTGAAACCTTCAAATGAAATGAAATATAAAATAAAAATATTTCACGGCAAATGATTTATTAAATATGATCATGTTTAACCACAAGTGCAGCATAAAATATAAGATAAGTTTAATTTTATAGCAAACTAGCGGTCTGCCCTAGCTTCGAACGGGTGATATCTGGATTCTACAACAGCGCCAGCTACTGGATCTAATTATGCCTATAACCTTCGCGGAAGTGCAAGCAGTGTGTTGACAAAGTTTTACCGCTGATGGACGGTAAGGCAGTGTATAATATACAAACAAACAAATATTAATTTTTATATATTAGATGATAAACGTTACAATCCTTATTATTAGATCTTTAAATCCTATATTTAGTATAATAAATCAATAGAATATATTCTTTCGAGTAAAATTGCTTTGTAACAGCGCCATCTACTTCATGCTAGAGGTAGTCTTTTTATCAAACAAAATTTGATTGACTCTCAAGGTGGTACGTACAACAGACGCCAGATGGCATGAATTTATGAAACATAATAGTAAAGTAAAATAATAAATGTATTGTATGTATTTATTTAATAAATTAGTTAATTTTTTTAACTGTTAAAATTTTAACAGTTAAAATTTATCCATCTATTATTTTACCATCTTTAAAGCACCACACAAAGAGGTGACTGAAATAATAGGAAACACTATTTAAAAATAATACTAGTAATGCTATTAACATTACTAAAATTGGCTTTAACCATTATAGGTAAGTTTGAAAATAAATATGGCATTTTGAACCCACAACCTTTTGAGTTCGCAATCCTCACCTTGCCATTAGGCTACTATCGCTTACTACACTGTATTCTTTCTCATTCTCTCGCAGGCTAAATCCTATACGTGTATACGTTTGTCTCTTTTTAGTGTCGCTTTTTCATTTCATCCACTTTCAGATCACAAAGAAGTTTTCACTTCTAAAACAGCCATAAATTTTGGACAATTTTTTTAGAACTACAAATACAAAAAAAAAAAAACTTGTATTTATTTATAAATATACGTATTTTGTTTTCGTTATTATAAACGCGTTAGCATACGACTTTTAATATGAAGGTTGGTGTTCTTTTTTTTGGAACTAAATTAGTGATATTCGGGTTGATGTTACTACAAAGTTGTATTCTCAAATTGGATTCCACTTGTAATCTGTTTCTTTCTTGCCTTTCACAGAGGTATGTGGTTAAGAGTAGTAAATAAATTGCTTCTTCTGACATTTCCTCATAAACTTTTTTTTCATTTGTCCTAAAACTTGATAAAGAGGATTCGTTTCAAAGCTGAATCACAGGATATTTCTATTAATTGGTTTTCCTGTGCCATTGTCAAGTCATTAATATCAGTAAAATCTGTGTTGAAAGAGTCTGATATCCAATTTTTACTTTTGTCGGGTACTGGAAAATAATCCCTAGACGAAGACCTCAAAGCGCAAAGGTGTTTAATCATTTCGTCTTATACTTGTGTTGGCAACATTGCTCCACCAATTGAGGATTCCAAAAACGCTGACAGTGTAGAAAAGTGATCATAGTTTTTTGGAATTGTACATTTTTCCAAAGATCAAGCTTTTTTAGTATTGTTTGAGTTATATCTTCAACTTAGAAGTTGTTGTTATCTCTCCCTTGTAGACTTAAGTTCAGCTCGTTAAGGCCACTAAATATCAGCTAAATATGCTGTAATTGTGAGCCTTTCAAAGTCATTGAAGTGATCAACATGTTTAGTGACACCCCTAAAAAATTAAAAAAAACATTCTGATCTCATCTCTTCTCTAAAACACACAATACAACTTTACCAAGAGATAACCAACACACTTTAGTATGCAATAACAATTACTTGTGAATGCTTCCCATTTCTTCACAAATCATAACGAAAATACGGGAAATTAAGAAGCTAGCCTAGCTTTAATAAAATTCACCACCTTCACTATGTCGTCATCTAACACTGTTTTTAATTTTTCTGGCATATTTTTAGCAGCTAATGCCTCCCTATGAATGCAGCAATGATGCCAGATAGAATAGATGATTTCATTTTCTTCACATACACCTGAAGTCCTATTCGTGTACCTGTCATAGCCCATGCACAGTCGGTGCTAGCTATGACATATTTATTTTCCCCACATTATTTCATGAGTGGGCATAAAGTTGTTCAGTACTTCAAATATTGCTTCACCTGTAGAGTGAGAAGGCAGAGGTATGTAGAATAAAAAATTCTAACTTATGCAGTTGTTGTATTTGTAGCTAGCATATGTAAGCAAGTTTGCATCATTGCTAATATCCGTCTAATTGTAAAGCATAAAATCTGCATGCCTTATCATTCTTAAATCAGCTGCTCTTTAACATTTTCTGATACTTCATCAATTATTATCTTCACTGTGCTGTTTTATAACAATATAACGTCCAATTCTTTTGAAGCGTTGTCACTCAGCATAGCAGAAACTATAATTTTAGCTCATGTTAATATTAATTCTTCAGCAATGGTGTGGAGTTTACCACTTTTTACAACTAACAATAACACTTGGCAGGATGGTAATAGATCACTTTTGTTATTGGTCCCAGTAGCAGTTTTAATCATTGTTTGTATTTGCTTGATTCTAATTCTAAGGCCTTAATTATGAAAAAGGCTTTAGATTTCTCATGATATTCTTGGTGCTTTGTTTCTAAATGATGTTGAAGTTTGGCAAAACTTCATAGCATACCACACACATTAAATTAGTACTTGTAAAACCATAAGATAAGTATTTTTTGGAAAATTTGTTTAACCTTTGAAATTGCAGTCATTTGCTTCGTCCAAATTAGAATCATTTGCTTTAAACCAAGATTTCATTGTCACAATCACTCAAAAAAACGTGATTTCGTTATAATTCTCTCCGACACAACACAAAATGCATGCACTAGTTGTTGCGAGAAACAACCAACTAATGAAGTGGCATGGTGCGGGTTCACTGCAAGAACCTGCCCACACACACTTACTTCACTCACTTGTTCACTTCAGTCAGTCTCGCACACCACCCACTGGCACACTTTTGCCTTGCTGAGTGCTAAGTAAGCGTAGCAACTTAGTGCCATTTATTTATTATTGTTAAATAGTCTAGAGATGACACTGCGGACCCCCATACATATACTCGCAGAGCCACTAGGGTCCATGGACCACAGGTTAAGAAACACTGTTATAGTGTTATATTTTGTAGAACTTTGTTTTTAACATATATTTAATTATTATTAATAGCAAACAAAAATATGTAAGTTTTATGATAATATTGGTATGCATTGTAATATGCACTACAAAGACTTGGATAGTCACAACAAAACTATACCTGAAATAAATAATTGTGTTATTGCACAAGTGCTAGCTCCAGAGGGGTTTGAACATAGAAATCTCAAAATAATAGCTACATAATCTGAATACTAGACCACCATATTGTAAATTCCATTGAAATTGTTAAAGCACTTTTAGAGAATGTGATGTCAAACAAATATTTATATTATATTGCTTATTTATTGGATATGGATATAAGAATAGCTTTGGAATTAACAGAAACAAGATAAAAGTCAGACGACATTAAACAGGTACTCTTAAATATTATCAAAGGGTTAACTTAAATAGTTTTAAATTATTCCAGGAAAACAAGCCATTCTGTGATAACAAAGTAATTTATTAGTAATAATAACTATGACAGTGTGTGACTCTTGACCTCTACATTTACTGAATTGTATGCATATACATAGCAAATTTTCCTTTTGTTATGTTTACTCAATTATTCAAGCTTTATAACTAGTTAGGTTTCCGTCGAGTATATGTATTATTACTTTCGCTTCGGTGCAATTTAGTGCCCTATTAAATTTCATAAATTGGCTTGTGGTCAATGTCCTCATCCAACAAAAGCTTCAATGCCACGGACCAATGTCAATAAGGAATATACAACTTATTTAAATATACTCTGAACATATATTATTTGTATAGAAAACTCGAGGTCAAATACTCCATAACAGCTGATAAAATAAACCTTACACTGTCATGTTACCAGCTCCACGAACGACGATCGGGTCGGGCACTAACGTCACATGTGTTTCTTCTATATTTTCTTCACTTTCAGTCTCATCTGGGTATATTGCATCGAAGTCCGCCATTTTCCTTATTTACTAACTAAACAAATTACAATATTCTATGTTCAAAACACATAACAAAGGACAATGTTTGCTGGACTGGACTTGGATTTTATGAATAAAAAAAATACATGACGTTTTCACTTTTCATAAACAAAGAATGTTGCCATTTATTTGCTATTTACAATATATTATTACCAATTTGAAAAATTGGATCTTTTCTTTTGTGCTGCCAAATGAGTACGAGAATGAGCGATTTAGTACTTCTTATTAGTTTGTAGAGCGATTCTTACAGTACTCATAAAATAAAAATAGAATGTTTCCAAAAAACTACATTCCTTGTTGGTGTTAGCCATTGATTTCGAATATAAAAAATATATAATTTAACTGTATAAAAAATAACAAAAAAACTAAGATATCTTTTGTTTCTGTCGGGTCTGGGTCACAGATGAGCGTTCTTCTTTAAAGTTTCGGAAACGAACTATAATTATAATAATAGAGATAGGACAGTGTGACAAAATATATCGATATAAATTCTATAATGATTTCTTATATTTACGCGAACACTACACATTGAATAAAACTATTTTTACGGATTTTATCGCGTTTAATTTACTTATTTTATATTCCCGACGTTTCGGTTGCTTTCCAGCAACCATGGTCACGGGGGACTGAGGTGATTGACGTCCCGATGTCAAAGTTAACCCCGAGTACCTTCAGCTTTTTAATTATTAATTTTGGTCCGATCTACGCAGAATGAACTAACTGTGTCTTGAAGTCTTACAGTGGTATGGACTTTTGGTTTATCAAATCTAATGTAATGACGGGGGCCGTCTAGGAAGTCTGCAGTTTGTGATCATATCCTAGACGGCCCCCGTCATTACATTAGATTTGATAAACCACAAGTCCTCGCGAAAGAACATCGATTCCTGCCAAGGATGAGACGTGAGGCTATTGAAATTAAAAAACATCCTAATTTCAATAGAGAGGGAGGCTGGGTACTACCACCTGCTTGGGATCCTGTAATTCATAAAATTAAAACTAAACCCAAGCATACCACTGTAAGACTTCAAGACACAGTTAGTTCATTCTGCGTAGATCGGACCAAAATTAATAATTAAAAAGCTGAAGGTACTCGGGGTTAACTTTGTCATCGGGACGTCAATCACCTCAGTCCCCCGTGACCATGGTTGCTGGAAAGCAACCGAAACGTCGGGAATATAAAATAAGTAAATTAAACGCGATAAAATCCGTAAAAATAGTTTTATATAAATTCTATACTCAGGCCTACCCTTTTATTTATGAATCATTTTAAAATAGGTATAGGTAAGTATCAGACACAAGCTTTATACCTCAAAGAAAATTAAAATCGACGCTACGTTAGTCTATCTACGTTTTTCTTCGTAACTGTATAACTGGTTTTGTTCCGGGTATTTATGTGCCATTGCGTTTGTATGGTTCATTTGAGATGGTACCTGAACCTAGCCCCTAGGTTCACAGGTTTTTGCGTGAAGCGTGTTCACGCCAAAATAGCTCGCTTAACATTTATCATTATATTTTGGCATATTTAGTTATTCTGATATATGAACTATATTATTGTAAAGTTTCATTAAAATCCATTCAGTAGTTTTTGCGTGAAATAGTTACAAACATCTATACATTCTCACAAACTTTCATATTTATTATTTAGGCCGGCCACATACATACGGAATTCCGTTTCGAGATTCCGTTTCGATATTCCGATTCGGGATTCCGAACGCAGCAAGTCCATATGGCCGGCCATATACATACGGAATTCCGTTTCGTGATTCCGTTTCGGAATCCCGAATCGGGATTCCGTGAATACATCACATACACACGTTTTTTTTTCCGTTCGGAATAACAAGGGTCAGTTGAGAGACGTTAGCCATTGAGTCTAGACATTCTGCCAGCGCATAATGACGACGATTTTCTAATTGCAAATTACATTGTTGCTGAATCATTCTTACTAGGTGCATCCCCTTATCACCCTAAGCTTGCAATATAGTCAATACTATGTAAAATGATCTATCTATCCAGAGATATTTTTTAAATATTTATGTATGTAAATTCTATCGAGGAATTATTAAATAAATAAGATGAAAGGTTACGAAAAGCTATACACCTACAAGATTAAATTTAAAAACATACATAAATACACCTACTCGCTTCGGTCGTGCGACGAACACTGAGCGCATTCCGTACGGAATTTACGTATGTGTGTTGCGACTCGTATAAAATCTATGGAAGACGTGCGTTTGGAGCGGCTTTTTTCCGTTCAGGATCCCGAACGCACAGGCGGTCATACGGAATCTCGAATCGGAGAAATTACGTACGGAAAAATAACGTACGTGTGTGGCGGGTCATAGATTTTATATGGACTTGCTGCGTTCGGGATTCCGAGTCGGAATATCGAAACCGAATCTCGAAACGGAATTCCGTATGTATGTGGCCGGCCTAATAAGGGGATGCACCTAGTAAAAATGATACAGCATCAATGGAATCACGATTAGAAAATCGTCGTCATTATTCGCTGGCAGAATGTCTAGACGCAATGGCTAACGGCTCTCAACTGACCCTTGTTATTCCGAACGGAAAAAAACGTATGTGTGTGATGTATTCACGGAATCCCGATTCGGGATTCCGAAACGGAATTCCGTATGTATGTGACCGGCCTATTATTTGTTCGTGGTTTGTTCGTAAGGCCCGCCATATACATACGGAATTCCGTTTCGAGATTCCGTTTCGGAATTTCGAACGGTCGGCCACACACAAACGGAATCCCGTTTTGCCCGCAAAATATCGAACGGAAAACTACCGTACGTGTGTGGCGGGTCATAGATTTTATATGGACTTGCTGCGTTCGGGATTCCGAATCGGAATATCGAAACGGAATCTCGAAACGGAATTCCGTATGTATGTGGCCGGCCTTATTGTTCGAACATAAAAATGATTTGTTTGTCTTTTAATTATTTATAATTAATTAAATAAATTTCATCCTTAAGTTTGCCCCCCCCCCCCCCCCTTATTGTAAATTTTATCTTTTATCACTTAACTTAATTATTTATTAAATATCGTTTGTTCGATTACTATTGATACTTGCTCGATCATAAATACAACTTAATCGTTAATAATTATACCCCGACTGATGAAATTTGTTTAATTCATTATAAATAATTAAAAGACGAACAAACCATTTTTATGTTCGGATAATAACGAACAAACGACGAATAATTAATTAAAAATTAAATAAAAATCACAAAAATAAAAAAAAAGAATCCCAATGGGGCTAGGTTCAGGTACCTCATTCGAGAGGATTAAAAGGTCCAATGAGTAGGAAAAACTGGAGTAAGACAAAAAAAAAATACTTTTGTAAAGAATTTATTGTTAACCATTCATTAAGATCTCATTATAGATAAAATCAATAAGCTGCCAAAATATAACGTCTATTTCAACAATATCTATAGGTTCAATTGCATTAAAAACGCTCAGCTCGTCAGCCCTTTCGTTAGAACTTTATTGTTTATAAAAAATAGGTACTTAATTTAAAATTATGTAATATGTTAGTAAAATACATTTAATAAGATAAGTGATAGATTTTTAAACGCCTAAATTATCAAATAGTTTTAACTTTTTAATATAAACTGTAAATCCTCTTGTGGAATGTTACCACAGTTCCTTTCTGGTAACGAATTTTACATTATCATTGTTATTAAAAATGATTTTTATTATATTACTAACATGAAATATAATCGAAATACAACACACTCTCTTTCTCGTTTAAAACTTTAAAATGCCCTTAGCCGTTTCTAGCAAAACAATGGCCATTTGCTAATTATGTGATGTATAGTTATAATATCTGTAATTATGTGTAAAATAGTAAATTTAGTCACTCAATGGCGGCGCTTCAGATCGATTTGTTGGGTACAGTCAGTCTAGCGTACTATATAGATATAGAGGCTAGCGTGCCAAACTCATACATTCGCAAGACAGAAGTGTATGCCAATAATGAGGATATCCACGACTTTTTCTGCCACCAGGGCGGCGCCACTTAAAAGCGAGGTATAATATTTGACAGATATCATAGCGGGGAAGTTAATTTGTTCGGAAAATGTAAAGGTTAATGTTTCTTTCTGTGGTATTAGCTATGTTTTATATTAATAAGATTAAAAATAAATAAACCAAATCACAGATATTCATAAGAGTAGAAAAATTAAAAAAAAATAGTTAAAAATGTGCAAAAAAATTAAAGAGCAAACCACTGAAGCATTGTTTTGTGTATTAATATAATATTATTGAAATTGATTAACTTTTATTAAAAACTAACTTCTCAATTAAATGACATTGTGTAACAAAAAACTTTACTTCAGTGTCAACTAGCGACACCTGGCGAGCAGAAAATTATTAACCCTCATTGTGCACCATTGCCGTGTAGTGGCGGTCAAGAATATCCACTACCCCATATCTTCCCGTGGATGTCGTAAAAGGCGACAAAGAGAAGACAGGCCGACTTCATGGAGAAAGAGGGACTCTTTATGATGAACTCTTTCTTCCAGAAGCGGCCTCACAGGAAGTGGACCTGGTCGAGCCCCGACAGTTCGACAAAAAATGAGATTGACTTCATTATGACGACCAGACGACAACTGTTCAGTGAGGTCTCCGTGATCGCGAGGGTGAAAACTGGTAGCGATCACCGAATGGTTAGAGGCACACTGAACCTAAACGTTAAGTAGGAGAGGTCTTGTCTAATGAAGTCAACGCTCCGTCCCCCTCGTGCTCTGTTCCAAAGTCCTGAAACCTTTCAGCTCGGGTTACAAAACCCATTTTCAGTGCCTAGAAGACTGCAATGAAGTGGACGATATGAATGACAAGCTCGTGGAAACTGTCTATGCGGTCGGAGCTAAGTGCTGCAAGACCCGCCGCAGAAGAACACAAATACTCTCCGATCACACTCTTAATCTCATGGCTGTAGGACGGGAGACGAAGCTACATTCTTCAACAGATTT